CAAAAACAGTATGACGCTCTCTTTGTGTGTAGCTGTCATAATAAAAATCTATCCAGATAATATGGCACCTTCTGGATAGAGTGAATTTATTCGTGTTTGAATAAGAAGTATAAAAACGTACCATTTTAACACCCTATTGGCTGGCAGGGTTAGCACAACTTTACATGCCCCGCCTCTTTCCAGTGTCATGGTTTACCAAAAATTGTCTATTTAACAAATGTAGACTTTAACTAGCCTAATGTTAGGCTGAAGGTTTGGAAGTCTGATTATACATGAGTTTTAGCATCATATTCATACTAGTTTGAGTTTTGGCAGCTCTTTGGGGACCCATATTCTGCTTGGGGGTCATTTGTTGAACAGACCTCCAAGTCGTGATGTGTTTAAGTTTGGATTAGCAGAGTCTTTGGTTCTGTCATGACTTCACCATGGGAATGTGACTGTAGTCTGTCATTACAGCAGCTCTGACACTTAACAGATGCCTTCCTCATGAAAGCAGCTGAAAACAGCTCAACATGATAAGATGTTAGTCTTTTTGCTCTGAAGTCTTCTTTGCTTCAGGATGAAAAAGCCTCAGAGTCCAACTTTACAGGAAACAGGCAGGTTTGAGTCCATGTCTCGTTATTGTGCAAACAGTTATATGAAGCTTTTCGAAGACAGGAAAAGGATCAAATGCAAACATGAACAGAACCCTCAGAGGGTTCCTGGGACTCCCATCAGACAGTGGTCCACACCGATCTGCACAGGAGCTTTCTGCAGTTTTACAGAGAACAGATCTGAGTGGAGCAGTTCTAGACTGATCCTTCTGTCCCAGCAAGCAGGTGATGAGTGATAACCCCTGGCTGCTGGTCAGTGTTCCAGGTTATCTGGACCAGAACTTTGCCCAGACTCGTCCTGATCTCTAACCAAGTTGGGTGAAGCTGTTATTCTTATAAAYCTGTTTCTAAAACTGGGAGGAACACAAGTTATTATAGAGCAGGTCTTTCATTTGTTTCTAGGTTTAGGTAAAAAAAAAAATCTGAATTGTTAAAAAAAAATCACTTTTTAAAAACAAATATAAAGTGAAACTTAAGCAATTATTAATCTTAATATTGATGCTTGTTACAAGGTGACAGTAGAAACCGGTCTTATTATAAACAGTGTAATTACTGTTTCATGTGACGTTTGTTTGAACTGAGAAAGGTCACACACATCCTTTTCTCTTCAGTTTGTTTTTTAACTTTTATCAATCAAAAGTAGAGCAACATTCCTCAAATTATACACTGCTCAAAAACAATAAAGGGAACACTTAAACAACGCACGCTAACTCCCGATCTTAATCAATGAAATATTCTCAAGTACTTTGTTCTGTACAGAGTTGAATGTGCTTCACAAAAGTTTGATTTACTTGGACTTMGCGTGCGTTGTTTAAGTGTTCCCTTTATTCTTTTTGAGCAGTATATTTACAAAAATCTGACTAAAGAACTTTTTTAATCAGTTGTAGGTGTACACAGAGGATTCACTTCACAGATTTTAATGAGGTCAACATGTAAACACATCCTGAGCACAGAACATGTTTGACACTTTAACGTTCTGAATATTTTCGTATTATGCTCTCTGATCAAATCTGTGATCCTGTGTTTAACTGTTGTTTAAAAAGCTTGATTTTAGTTGGACCAGCACCGGTTTTCTACCAGTTTTTAATAAATCCATCTTAAGATAACACTAAAACTAATAAAAGGGTGATGGAAGGAAAACACTGGAATCACTTTAAGCATTGGTGTGTTTGCACTCAGTTCCTCCAACATGATCTGTCACCTCCTCAAACAGACTGCTTGTTGGTGGGAGCAGGTTTTAACATGTTCCTTCGTTCTGAGGCTGATTATAAGGTGCTTTCTGTGGGAGKTCTGAGGAAGGTCTTCACAACAAGTGTTGAAAGAATGTGGCAGGATGACATCTGAAGCCTGTTCTCAGATACAAAACAGCTCCTCCACACTTCCTCACTTCCTCGAAGAGAAGCTAAAAACCTCTTTACCCCAGTTTTACCCATTTGTCCCAATTTAATCCTCGTTTTAGACATTTTATCCCACTTTTATCCCAGTTTTACCCGTTTTTCTCAGTTTTATCCGAGTTTTAACTTGCTAACCCCAGCTTTATCCCAATTTTACACCAGTTTTATTTTAGTTTTACCTCAGTTTTATCCCGGTTTTATCCATCTTGTCCCAGTTTTATTCAAATTTTGACAAGATCTCAGGCAGGAAAAAGTCCAGGGCACAGGCAAAGTCAAAAATAAAACAAAGAAACACAGAAAACACAAAAAAAAAAACCTAATGGAGAATAAACACAGATCATGACAAATTTTACCCATTTTATCTCAATTGTACCCCAATTTCACTAGTTTTATCCCAGTTTTAACTTGCCAACTCCAGCTTTATTCCAATTTTAAGCCAGTTTTACCCATTTTGTCCCAATTTTATCCCAGTTTATCCTAGTTTTTTCTGTTTTACTTCAGTTTTATACCACTTTTACCTCAGTTTTATTCCAGTTTTATTCTTTTATCCCAGCTTTATTCCAGTTTTATCAATTTTACCCCAGTTTAACCTGTTTTATCTAAATTTTATCCTAGTTTTCCCTCAGTTTTGTCCCAGTTTTACCTGTTTTATCCCACTTTTATTGCAGTTTTACCCCAGTTTTAACTCAGTTTTATTCTATTATCCCAGCTTTACCCCAGTTTTATCCTTCAGCTACAGAACGTAAGTCCAGTTGCTTCATCTTTGTTCTTTTAATTTTCCATGCCCTGGATGACTGAGAATCCACATAATGGTAACATTGTCGGACCATATTGATACCGATAGATACTTTACTTCCAGCACTTTGCTTCGTTCCAAAAATAACATGCTGTACTGGAGCATCTGGTCAGAGGCAAGTTCAGATACAAGCACTGAACTAAACAAGCATGTCACAAAATTATTTAATCGGCTCTGATTGAACAGCTTTAGAATCGACATGCTAACATGTAGCATCTGTTGTGACGTAAAACCCTTGGTTGAATGTGACGTCATGTCATCTTCTATGCATGTGGGTCACATCAGGGCCATCAAGAGTTCACACTGGAGTCTGCTAAAAGTCACATTTAAAATACAATATGAACAATCATGCAAAAATTTGGGATTTTTGAAAAAAATAATAGTTGAGCTTTAAGACCTGCAGTGTGAATGTAGCTTTAAATATGTTCACACAGTGGGAAAATGTTTTAATATTGAATTTTCCATGTATAAAATACTTAAAGCCTTATTTTTCCCTTTTTTTACAGTTTACCCAAAAACCATGTGATTCCATAAGTTCTGAAGTCATCATGCAACGAGATGAACGTTGAGCTCCTCTAAGAAGAAATCCATCTTTGGCTTTATTGATGTCTCTGCCTGAAGTATGCTTCTGAAAGAGACCCAGCCTTTGTGTGGATTTGGTCAGATAGCTGACAGAACGTCAGCCATGTGTTCACAGGGTCAAACCATGGTCTTAATGTTGCTCCTGCTGGGTCTCACCTGCTCGTCTCACTGCACTTACGTGGAGGTCAACAGGGGTTTAAAAGTGAAACAGGGTCAGTCAGCCTACCTTCAAGGTGACCTGCAGTTCCAAATTCCTGCTGAGAAGGACGCATGCAAAGTGGAAGTAGTGTTAAATGAGCCCATAACTCAACGTGTGGGAAAACTCCTTCCTCAGGTAACAAAGAAAAGTCATCCAACTCTAACAAAACATGACTTTACTATAAGAAGTAAAATAGCTATAGACTAGAATACAACTTACAGTCTATGCTTTGCTGTTGGTGTAGGATTTAGAGATTTTCTGTTTATTTAGATTTTCCTGTGTTCTTTCTCATTCTGTTTGTGTTGTTCCTGCTCTCCTGTGTTTTCTCTTCAGCTCCTCTCACTGCTGCTTGTCTCCTCACAGGTGTTTCACATTTCGAATTCATTAGAGTCCTTATATATTGGCCCTGTCCCAATACTCACACTCCCACCCTCGTACCGCCCTTGTGCACTTCAAATGCGCGTTCATGTTGAAGGGTTTGAGTGCATAGTGTGTCCCACATTCTACACATCCGCCCTTCGCCCCTCCCATTTTGGGTACTATTTCCTCCCTTACGCTAAGTCCACATTTTTACGGACTTCGGCGAAGTGTATTACCCACAATTCATCGCTGTGTGTGACATCTTGTATTAAAAGGCAGAAACCTGGCAATGTCCACTGAGCACCTTGCAGTTTAGTGGTGGCAGTAATGCACTTAAATTAGTCTGACAACCACCAATAAAACCAAAAGAAGAACTTATAGAAGTTAGCATTCTCTGATGAATAAGCCTCCTTCACTTCATGCTTTTTCTTATCTAAAAACTTTTGCTTTTTGTGGTTGTACTGTCATTTTTAGCAATACAAATGCCAAAACAAGTAACTGGTCCCGTGATGTTGGCTCTCCTTGTGAGAGAGTGAAAAACTGTGACCTTGAAGTTTGCTGCCACAACATCATTTGTTTTGTTCATTAAACTTACTATATTATTGAGCTCCCTGTGCCTGCCTGCTTCTGGGTTCAGATACTCAGTTAACCTGACAGTTGGGTCAATACTATTTAACTAAAAAAATTATAACTGAACTGCATAGTTCAAGTTTGTGTTTTGTCTGTGTTTGTAAAATTATGAAACAGATAAAGGTTACTGAATGCTTTGATCTTGAATATTTAGCTACTATTTAGCTATTGATTTATGTTTTGCTACTTTTAGCTTCTAGCTAGTGTGTAACCTTTGGTTTTAAGCTAGCTTTTTACTTATTTTAGCTCTTAGTGCTTTATAGTTTAAGCTAGTGCTTTTTTTTTTTTTTTACGATTTTAGCTTTATTGTATCTCATTCCTATAAGCATTTTGCTTCTGTTAGCATTTAGCTAGTGTTTTACTCCTTTTGGCTTGAGGAGTTAGGAGGACTCCAAACTTTAATTAGCTGTAGATGTGTACAGTAGACATTCTCAACACAGTTTTAGTGCATTTCTTTCTTGATTAATATTCAGTATTCAATACATTTTGACAAATAAAAATTGTGTCCAATAGCCTTTAGCTACCAAATTGATACGGCCATCATATATTTTTGTAAATACTTTGGTTTTATTTAAACATCAATAGTGGTGGGCTGCGCTAATCCAAAAATTAGCTCCACAATTTCTAAAGCACTTATGAAAATATTTAGGTCCGCAACTTCAAAATCGCTTATGTCATAGAAAAATTAGCAGACGCTAATGTTAAAGTGCAAGTTCAATTTGACACTTACTAGCTGGCAACATTTGAACTTTATGAACTTTATGAATTGAACAGTATATGCACAACACTGCCAACTAGTGGTGTATGAACCCTTGTACAGCTTAATCCTACAAACGCCGATTCCTGGGGATGTGATTTCCTGAAACAGAACTTTGGCTCCTGGTGTAAAAATTAAAATGTTGTTGAGGCTTGCTAGTTCGGCTGCTTCTTTAAAAAGTTGTTGAGGATTGCTAGTTCAGCTGCTTCTTTGTCTTTTTCTTTTGTTTGTTGTAGCTTTTTCATTGAAGAAGCATCAATAAAGTAATTTTAAAACTGTTTATTGGAAAACTGAAGCGATGCATTCTGGGTACATGACAGACTGACGGGAAATGAAAGCACGGGGAACAGGAAACTAGTATCTTCCCTTCAAAATAAGAGCTTGGATTTTAAAGTTTTTCATGTTTCCATTGGATTTTAATGTTTTCCAGTTCACCTGAAACTCATCAGACTGAAGAAGTCTCTTGGAGGAGAGACGAAACGTTTCACTAAAGAACCCATCCAGAGGACCTAGTTTTTCTTTTTGATTATTTTCTACCTGGATTAGGATGTTTTCCATGTAGTTGCTCCAGTTGACCACTAGATATCAGTCTTCACAAGCATAACATCTTTAAATCATTTCTGAGTCTCTAACACCGTTGGCTGATTGCTTTTGAGCTCCAGAGTTTAAACTTTTTGTTTTAAAAAGGAGCTCCGATTGTAAAGCAAAATAAATCAATACATACAAAATTTTAGTATGGATTACAAATGTTTACTGTTTTTGCTACTGCCTTCCTGCTATGTAAGCAGACACAAAGCATTGTGGGAAATGAGAACCATGGCCAAATGCAACAGTCCGCAAGGATGTATACCTTTCCAATAAATGTGTTTATCTGGGAAGGGTGCTGTTGGACAGATCACATGTGTTGTGATTCATTGACAGCCATACCTTCCGCTGTTCAAGATATTAGTGGTACTGCATTTTAATTTTAGAAAGCGCAAATCCGCTTATGAATTATTAAAATTCGTAAGTCCGCTAAAGCACAAATGAAACATTTAGGTCCGCAATTAGTGGATTTGTGCTTTAGCAGGCTTGTGCCCACCACTGAACATCACAAAATTCTTTTGTCATTTTAGTCCTTTATTGATACCATTTTTTTAATCTGGCCCAAGAGATATTTTACTAACAGTCAAAGTTGAAACCAATGTTTTAGTTTTATGTATGAGAAGCTGTGGAGCTTGGCATGTGTGTCTGTGTGTTTTGATTAACTCTCAGTTTCTACCACAACAAATGTCAATTCCATACCTGTAAAACCAAYAATGCCACCTGTGTGTTTTCAGCTGTGGCAGCCATCTTGAATTTGTTTGATTAGTGTGCATTTTTTGTAGGTATTTGATTGTCATTATCTGTCTGATGAGGTGAAGTACGTCCACAATGGTTGTCCATTACTAAAGGAGGATACGGTTAAACTTCGTCTCTACTGGTACGCCAGTTTTATTTGTTAAAAATCAATAATTGGTTAAATTCATGTGGATGATATATGCATTTTTTAAAGGTCTATGTGTTTCATTATCTGTTGTGTTTCTGACCAGGTTCACAGAAACAGAGACATTTATTGAGGACTTTGTTCTTCATGTGGACATCATGGAGCCTGAGTGCAGCATCATCAGGCTGGGGCCCAAATCACTCCAGGTCCCCGAGTTTTATGGCCTCTCTGATGCTGTTGATGGTAATGTGGTGTCATTTCACTATGAGAGGAGATCCACTCTGGAATGTAGTGTCCACCTGAGTCACCAAGACTCTCACCTGCCTACCCACGGCCAACTGGTCACAGGAGAACCAGACAGTGTCCCCGTCAAAAGAGGGGATGAACCAGAGAGCTTTATTCATCTGCGTCAGCAGCTAGGTAACCTGGGATCTCTAACTCACTGCAAGGGTTTATCAGTAAAATCACTAACATTACAGAGCTGCAGTTTTACCGTGATGTCATATTATGATGTCAACCTGGTGTTTTTTATTCATTGTGTTGTCATTTTTCAGATAATAAAGCCAGGGCAATGTGTAAGTCTGAGGGCTGCCTGAAGGGTCTGAAGCTTGTGAAGTTGACCAAAATGCCCTGTGAGGACTTTTTGCTGATGGGGCTGAAGTATCAGCACACAGATCCTCCATCTCCAGATGTGGATTACATTCCAATCAGACTGGACCTGAAGGACACCAGGAGTGGCAGCCTGTATAGGGTAACTCTGGGATGTTGTACAAAATTCCTGTTGCATGCATTTCATTCAAAAAAAGTGGAAGAAAACATTGTTATATTAAAAAATATTGGCATAATACATGACTTCACCCATTTTGTCTCATAAGGGACTTGTATTTTAAACTTGGGTCAACCAAAGTGAAACAGGAAGTGACGACAAAGGGGAACTACTGTTTTTCATTTATTGAAACAATATTATTGGAACTCTTCTTCATCTCTCTGATAGTGACTCTTCTCTTCTGTCAGTGTTGTTAGCTTGTAGCAGCACTCTGCTCAACAATTGCTCATCACGGAGGCCTGGTTTATTTTTTGCAGTCATATTAATGTTATGTCTTTAATAAGGCATTAATATTTATTCATATTTATTGCAAAAATCTAATGTTACATGTGCTTTAGTCTGCTTTATACTTTTGGTAAAATACTTGACAATATGTATGACAGATTACATACCATATTTGAATACCTTATAGAAAAATTGAGGTGCTTGAGGTACTGGGGCAGTGCTGGGTGTGTGCGTGCATGTGTATGTGTGTGTGTGTGTGGGGGGTCCTTCATGATGCACATCATGGAAGCAACATCAACCTTAGTTTTAAAGATCCATCAATGGGATTTTTAAGAGGAACCTCACAGACACATAACTGACCAATCAGAAGAATAGAGAACAGTGTTTTAAATGTAGACACTGGTGAATGTCATCATCATCATCATCATCATCATCTCATAAGACCAAACACACTAAGTAAAGGTTGTGTCTCTAACTGACTAAAACAAGAAAATAGATGCGTTTTCTGTTGCAGTAAAGAATATGGATGCTTGTAACTAGTGAGTTGTGCGGCRATGCTTTACACCTTCAAACCTTTTTTTAAAAACGCAGCCAGTTTTTTATGCACAGCTTTTAAAACTGTGCACATTATTCTGTCTACCTCTGCCCGCAACCTGCTCAGTAGCTGCCCCTGTCACGTAAAGTGAGTTCAATAAAGTTATTTTGTACTGACTGATCGTGCATGCACGGAGCTGTTACAGCGAGTTGAATAATAAAAAAAGAAAAAACCGAACTTGGAATGGTCTCAATGTCACCTAAGTTTTAGAGCTGAACGTTTTATAGGAAAACGTCACAACCCCCCCATGTTTACATTTARGAAATTAAAACGGATAGATTTGAACCAGCTGTTTATCATTATTTTTGGTGTTTGGCATGGTTTATAGGACATTTAGGGCTGTAGCCTYGTATATTTTTTGTCAGAAGGAAGGATAGTGTGCAGGAGTCAAAATACAGTTTCAGTGCTTTCAAAGATGAGTTTGAAAGGATGGTGATCACCCAGTTACTAATCCATCCATCCATTTTCTGTACACGCTTCTTCCTTTTCAGGGTTGCGTGGCTCACTGGTGCCCATATCCAGCAGTCACAGTGCGAGGGGCAGGGTACACCCTGGACAGGTCGCAAGTCCATCACRGTTACTAATTTACAGTAACCAGTTTCTAATTTCAGAGAAAATTTGTCACAGATTTAGATACTCTGTCTTATGTTCATCAGTAGTACCCTAACAAGCCATGGCATCAGAGTGTGAAGAAAAGRTTTTTGTCCTGGCTAGGCTAACCAAAGGAAACTTTTTTTTAGGGGAGTCGTCCCGTAACTGAAGGGTTGCTGGTTCAATCCCCCGTTCCAGTTGTCTCAGTTGTTATGTCCTTGGGCAAGACACTTCACCCACCTTGCCTACTGATGGTGGTCAGAGGTGGCGCTGGTGCATGGCAGCCCCACCTCTGTCAATGTGCCAGGGCAGCTGTGGCTACAATGTAGCTTAGCATCATCAGTGTGTGAATGTGTGAAGTGTAAAGCACTTTGAAGTCCTTGTGGACTTGATCAGGTGCTACATAAGTTTAAAATGTTTACCATTTTATTGTTTTTCAGAGTTAAACATATTTTTCCTCCAAGGGAACATACAGCCAGCCAATATTAAACATCTGYTGCATCATTATAGGCTGATGGAGTTCAGGCAGCTTTTAGCCACTTGTATCTAAAATGTTGGCAGTTTTTCAGTCCACATCTCATGACCAGATGAAGAGCTCCACTTTTGATTCAGCTCTTTATCACCATGACAGACTAAAGCAATTTTGTATGGAGAGGCCTTTCATTCAAAAGGAAACAAATTAAAAAAAATGTAATTACTAAAGTATTAATAAATATTCCATCAAATAAATAAATGTCCCCATGAAATACGTAAAACAAAATCAATACATTTTTTTAGCATGGTAAAAATAAAAGTTCCTTCAATAAGTAAAATAGCTTTACAAAATAAGTGTCACAAAATAAAAGTACAATATATAATAAATAAATAAATAAATAAATAAATAAATGCTTTTTGAATGAAATGGGTTTCCATAATTTAGTGCAGCCAGTTTTTGAAAATCATATATTCATTTGTGCCTGGCCTTTAAAATTGTACACACACACACACGCACGCACGCACGCACGCACGCACACACACACACACACACACACACACACACACACACACACACACACACAGTCCATATGCTGCACGCTTGTATGCCAGGGTTCTGCTCTTCTCAGGACGTTGTTGTTCTTTTGGCTGCTTCTTTGAAGCGTCACCTCAGTAACTACACTCTCAAGACAGATTTAGTTTTTGTTTTATGCTGGATGCCCTTCTTGATGCAACCTGGGCTGGAACCTGCAGCCTCAGGACCAAGACCACAGCACAGCTCGGCCTAGTTTCAGATCCTTTGTTGCAATTCATCAGAAAATTGATTTTAACCACCAAAACAAGAACTAACTAACATTTCATTCATTATCATATCAAGAATCTTATTGTTCTTTATATCTTCATTGTTTAGATAAATGATTTATTTTAGTTGGGATTTTACTGCCAGTATCTGTAGTTAACTTTAGGAACTTTTACATTCATTCTGTATTTGTTTAGTCAGAGAAGGCCTGGATTCCAGTGCGAATATCTGGTGCCATGTCCAACCAGGCTCCCAAACCATCCTTCATGTCGATGTTTATCCTGGAAGTGGACCAGTTCATCCTCACTCCACTCTCCACTGCTACACTAGATGCTGAAGATGAGGAAACTCCCAAACAGCTTCTTGTTTTTAACATCACCAAACCCCCMGAGGAAGGCTTCATCACCCACCTCTCTGACCACACGCGTCCTGTTTCCTCCTTCACGTGGCTTGATCTCAACGACATGCTCATTGGGTACCAACCTCCAAACTCCTCCCACATTCAACGCAGGAGTTACCAGGTTAAAAAAAATCCCTTTACTAAACKTTTTAGGGGATTTAAAATTATTCTCTTTGTGCATAACACATCTATAAAACATGTATTTTCCCAACAGGTGGAGTTTGAGGTTTATGATTGTTTCTTTACGAAGAGCTCCTTGATGACGGTTCACACTTCTGTAAGAAYTGCAGACACTAATGCACCAAGAGTATCCTGGAACATGGGTGAGTCCGCTCAGTCATGTAATTTAACAACTGTAACCATTTTATTATGGTATTATAAAATGGTTGAATGGTCTGATGAAGGGCTATCCATCGGGCCCTCCAATGAGTTTGCTTGGCTCGCAGATTTGATTATGAAGTTGATTTTAAATTAAAAAAAACAAATTTAGAAAAATATAAGAAAAATCCATTTAAATATTTATTTGATATAAAACAAAATATTAAGTTGTGTGTAGTGTCAGCTCCTACCACACCAAATATTAGTCAAATATCTGTAAAACAGACTAAACAATGGTGGATTTTGTATTTTCTATGATGGCTTGACTCTGGCAGCCATCTTGACATTAGTTGACTCCAATAGTTGTTAAGTCAAATATGAACATCCAATGATTACTCAGTGAAAGTTTTCACCTTTCAGGAGTAACTATAGTACAGAATATTTTTGCTTCTGCCCTCTAGTGTTCAAATAACAAAAGCAATAACAACAGCATCAGTCTTACATAGCTTTATATGATAACTTTTTGGTGCTCCAACATTTTTTTCAACTCAAACAAGACAAATGCATAAAAAGTCTAAAAAATATTTTTGTGTAAGTTTCTTAATAGTCTTTTGTTTGCAGGTCTGAACCTCTTAGAGGGTCAGTCTCGTCCAATAACATGGGACCAGCTCCAGATTGTTGATAATGACAACATTAATGCTGTTCGAGTCATCGTTGTGGACGGGCTGCACCACGGGCAGCTCACTGTAAGAGGTACCAACTCAACATCACTGAGACAGAATTCAGCTTTCATTGAGCCTTATAAGTTTATTATTCAAACTAAAACACTAAAGAGTATAACAGAAAAAGCTTATCCATGTTCACCTGTGTAATCCTGCCCTGTATAAAGAAATCTAATCCTATTAACTTTGTGCTGTAAAGTTATGGGACAGAAGTTTATTGAATAAAGAGTTGACTGAAACAAATCAAAGGTTAAAATTAATAATTATTTGTAAGTCAGACTTCAGGTTAAAATGATGGTTGTAATCAATAAATCTTTGTTACATAGCACATTTTACTGAAGTTACTAAGTGCTTTTATCAAATAAAACGCAATTAAAAAGCAGATGAAAAAGTATCATAAAAAGAATAAAAGCAAAAAATTAGACAAAAGAAAGAAAAAACAAACTAGAAAAGTTCCTGGAGAAACTTTAAAGAGGCCATTTAACATTTTTTGATTTGCCTTTACTATGTGTTGGAGATCACTGTCAGCAACCACCACGCCTAGTTACAGCTCAGTAAAGTTAAAATGGCAGAGTGATAATTGTGCTTTCCTTTTAGCWATGCTGGCCATCTTAAATTTTTGATTTTGATTCAGTATCTGATGGGGATGGTTCTCAGCTACTACCACACCAAATGTGAACCCAATGTGTCCTAAAACTACTGAACAATCATCAGAGATGACAGAGAAGTAAATATTGACTAAACAAAGGATATAATAATAATAATAATAATATTATAAATATGGGATCTTAATTTGCATTTACATTATTTTGTATTAAGGGTGAGTTTTCTCTAAGAAGCTCTATAAGGCAGTAAAGTTACTGTGAGGTCACAGGAACAATTCCTGAACAAAAACTCCCCAAAATTTATCAGGGTTTTTAGGTTTTTGTCAGGAACAGTCTTGTTTACAGACAGCACTAAAAATAAATAAAAACTGAGGAAAATAATTGTGTGGCTGATTTTTCCCCACTAGACGTTCCAAATCAGAGTTTAGAGTTCACATTTTATATCTACTTTTATTTTATTTTTTGTAAACTTTAGGTGGAAAGGGCTTCATGTTCACCATCAGTGACATAAAAGCTGGTGTGGTCAGTTATCACCATGACGACAGCGACTCCACCCAKGACTTCATCATCTTCCGCATTACGGATGGTCCCCATCAGAACCGACATAAGTTCCCCATCAAGATCCTCCCCAAAGACGACAGTCCTCCTCTTCTGATAACCAACATGTTGCTGGAGGTCTCAGAGGGTCAGACAGCTTTGATCAGAGGCTCCATCCTGCAGGCRTCAGACATGGACTCCAGTGATGACTACATCCTCTTTAACATCACCCGCCCTCCACTAGCTGGAGAGATCATGAAGATCCCAGGACCAGGGTTGACAGGTCAGGAGAATAGTAGTTTACTGTTGTCACTCGTGGAAAATATTTAACAAAGAACAGAAATACACGATTCAAAGAATAAAGGCACTTTGTTGAATGGTCATCYGAGGTTGTTTATTGCAACAACAGGAACACAGAGATCAATTTAGAGCYATCAGACTGTCTTCCTGTTCTCTGCTTCTTTGAGGCAGTTGAGGCCTCCCATATACTGTTTAGCAAAGACCATTATGTCATCTTAATAAAGCAATAATCATTCTATCCACTGAAAAACATGGYGCCATTACAAATTAGGTCATTAAAGTATGTCATGAATTACTGGTTTCAAAAAGTATAATTTCTGTTACAACACTGTGTTTGTTGATGTCACACTTATGTTTGTAATAATTAGGTTATCCAGTGAGCCACTTTCTCCAGAAGGACCTCACACAGTCTATAGTCTACTATAGACACTTTGGGAGTGAGACCTTTGAYGACTCTTTTGAAGTGGTGCTGTCTGATTTCCATGATCCCCCCAACCTGTCAGACCCTCAAGTGAGTAACAAGACAATGGTATAAATCTGTTAAAGTTTAGAGTTTAGTGTGTTAGCATTGGAGAGCTATAAAGTATTAGAAAAAGCTGGGATGTGTTTTATGGTTTGACACCAGTTGTGATGAATCACATTTTCTTCTCTCATCACTTTCTCTTCTGTCACATCTATCACCTTGAAGGGAAATATATTCTGTGATTCTTAAACGCGCAACACATTCTTGTTTTTATCAAGAAATCCAGACTAATGCTGATAATCTAAATGCCTAATTATGACCCCCGCATGCGAAACATAAGCGGGAGTCATAATGTTTTCGCACTGTTTTTTTATTTTCAGTGATTTTTGGTCAACCGTAGCAC